ATTTAACTTGTTGTCCACGAGGACTCCAAGATCTTTTTCACACGTACTGCTCTCGAGCCAGGCATTGTCCCCCATTCTTTAGATATTTGGTTATAGGTGTCCAGTCTGTTTTTCCCTTGTCTTCCCTTTGGATATCAAATAAGTTAGCCTATCCATGTTCCTTATATCCATGATTTTTTTATTCCAATCTTCCAGTTTGGGTATATCCGTTTTCCTCCATACTCTGGCGTAACACATTCTTGCAGCCGTTGTTACTAAAAAGAGGAGTTTATCTGTATTGTTGTCTATTGTTTTGATCATTTATTCCCAGTAAAAAGAGTTCTGGTCTCAATGGTATTTTTATTTTTAATAATTTTTTGTAGATTTTCATGTATTTCCTTCCAAAAAATTGGGTCCTTTTGCATGTCCACCACATATGATGGAAGGTTCCTTCCATTTGTCCACATTTCCAATATTTCAAATTGATGTTTTTATAATATTTTTTTAATTTATGTGGTGTCATGTACCATCTATGCATCATTTTTGTCCAGTTTTCTTTTAGATAATAAGCACATGTATCTTAATTTTTTATTCCAGATTTTCTCCCATTCGTCAATTCCTATAGATCTCATTTTATCATGTATTCCTTTACTCTCTCTTCCTCTGTATTCCAGTCCAGTAATTTTTTATATATTTTGGTTATTGTTTTCTTTTCTGTTTTCAATATTTTATCCCATGTATTTTCTGTCATTGAGAAGCCGAATTCTTTGTCTTTTATAAAGTATTGTTTTATTTGCCAATATTGCAGCCATGTTATATTTGTAAATCTCTCCTTTATTTTTGTTTGCGATTTTAATACTATTTCTCCTCCCTGTTTCTTTATTATGTCTTTGTAGGTGGGCCAGTTATCCCACCCATTTTCTCTACGTTGGGTGGATTCTAGTGAAGATACCCATAGTGGTGTTTTGTTATATATCCTTTCTTTATATTTTTTCCAGATTTTGGTGATAGACGGTCTTATGAAATGATTCCCGATATTTTTTTCATTTTTTGCTTTTCCGTACCATACTTATTTTTGGGGGGAAACTGTATGTTAAAAAGATTAAATTATAATCTATATAAATAAAAATGTAATGTTCTTTTGTGGGATCAACAGAACTCAAAAACCACTGGACGAATTGACACCAAATTTGGTCACTATACCCCTAACAGACCAACAAGTGACCATCACTCATAAGCCCTCCCCAAAAAACAGTGGAAAGGACTTAAAAACCCAAATATGCTAAATGATTAAAAGCTAAATGACAATACAGAAAAAAGGAAGGAAGGTGAGTGAGAGAGAGAGAAAGGAAGGAAGGAGAGAAAGAGGGAGGGAAAGAAAGAAGTAAAGGGAGAAGGAAGCATGGAGGCATAGAGCAAAGGAAGGAAGGAAAGAGGTAGAGAAGGAAGAAAGGAGAGAAATAAAGAAGGAAAAGAAAAAGGGGGAAGGAAGGAAAGAGGTAGAGAAGGAAAGAAAAAAGGGAGGGAAGGAAAGAGGGAAAGAAGGAAAGAGAAGGATGGAAAGAGGTAGAGCAAGAAGAAAGAGAGGGAAAGAAGGAAAGAAAGAAGGAAAGAGTGAAGGAGGGATAGAAGCAAAAAGAGAAGGAAGGAAGGAAGGAAAGAGGTAGAGAAGAAAGGAAGGAAGGCGAGAAGGAAAGAAAAAAGGGAGGGAAGGAAAGAGGGAAAGAAGGAAAAAGAAGGAAGGAAAGAGGTAGAGCAGGAAGAAAGAGAGAGGGAAGGAAGAAAAGAAAGAAGGAAAAAGAGAAGGAAGGATGGAAGCAAAAAGCGAAGGAAGGAAGGAAAGAGGTAGAGAAGAAAGGAGAGAAGAAAAAAGGGAGGGAAGGAAAGGAGAGAAGGAGAAGAAGCAAAAAGGAAGGAAGGAAGGAAAGAGGTAGAGAAGGAAGGAAGGAGAGAAGGAAAGAAGAAAAGGAAAAGAAGGATAGAGGGAGCAAAGGAAGGAGGGAAAGAAGGAGAGAAAGAGGGAGGTGAGATCGGTCACAGCAACGCGTGGCGGGTACAGCTAGTATCCTAATATAAGTCAATGAGGTAAGATTGGCAATTCAGATTTCATTTGGATTTAACTGGAGCCCCCGGTGGCGCAGTGGATTAAACTCCTGTACCAGCAGGACTGAAGACCAACAGGTCGCAGGTTCGAATCCAGGGGAGAGCACGGATGAGCTCCCTCTATCAGCTCCAGCTCCTCATGCGAGGACATGAGAGAAGCTTCCAACAGGGATGGTAAAAACATCAAAACATCCAGAGGTCCCCTGGGCAACGTCCTTGCATACGGCCAATTCTCTCACACCAGAAGTGACTTGCAGTTTCTCAAGTCACTCCTGACACGATAAAAAAAATTGAATTTAAGATCCAAAGTAGAATGGATGTGGGTTTTGGTTGAATTGGGCTCCAATCAGAATTGCTGTAAGAACCTCCAAATTGTGTTGAGGACCATTACAATGATAAGGGCCTTGTTACCACCTCCATTGATATTATGGAGCCTATATTCTCCCAAGTGACTGTTAAAAAGACTGTATTTCAGAGAGTTTTTAGTGCAAACCAGTCGTAAGGGGGAAGTTTACATAGTTTTTGTTCTTCTGTACCATGTTTCCACTTCAAATTATTGCTTCAACAGGTACATTACTTTGGGTTTTTAAAATAAAAAAATGAAGAATGGCACATAATTTTATTTTATTTTTTATTTATTATTCGAACTTATATGCCACCACTCCCCTGCGGCTCGGAGCGGCTTACAAGAACAGGCTAAAATAGAACACAATTTAAAAACAATTTAAAACAATTTAAATGTAGGTGTATTCCCCCTACCCCCACCTCCTGTTACTAGCCATGGCCTGGCAGCAATTTACCATATTACTGTAAGATTAGTAAATCCCTTCTGTTCAAAGGCTAATCCATTCTTATTTCATATCCATCAGCTGTGCCATTAATTGGAGTAATCCTCATTTCATTTGTCAGAGCTTTGGTTTGAATTTCACTGTGAATGTGACTGTGACAGCTTTATGTGGCAAAAAGTGTCAGGGCAGATGGCTGTGCTACCTCCAGTCGATAAATGGAGCCAGTTTACAAAGTCTGTGTGTGTGGGGTGTGTGTGTATATACACGCACACTTTACCATGCCTTCTGTTTTTCTGGTGCTGCCACAGTAATCTGGCATGTTGCATGCCTTGTTAGAACATGTATAAAGTTCTCGCTCCCTAGTTATTGTGTATTTAGTCGCAAGATGGGTAGATAAACAAATTGAAATGACAAGATGAATGCTCCCTCATTAAGCATGGTAAACTTCTAGGGCTAGGATTTCCAAATTTGGGAGTGCAGATGAAGGTGAGTTGAATCTGACTCCATCTAATGTGTAAAAGTGGAATTTTGCTTATTATCAGAACAGTTTCCAAGCTGAAACAGATTTCCAATCTTGACAGATTAGAGAGATGGGCCAAAACTAACAAAATGAAGTTCAATAGTGACAAATGCAAGATACTCCATTTTGGCAGGAAAAATGAAATGCAAAGATACAGAATGGGGGACAATGCCTGGCTCGAGAGCAGTACGTGTGAAAAAGATCTTGGAGTCCTCGTGGACAACAAGTTAAACATGAGCCAACAATGTGATGTAGCGGCAAAAAAAGCCAATGGGATTTTGGCCTGCATCAATAGGAGCATAGTGTCTAGATCTAGGGAAGTAATGCTACCCCTCTATTCCGCTTTGGTTAGACCACACCTGGAATATTGTGTCCAATTCTGGGCACCACAGTTCAAGAGAGATATTGACAAGCTGGAATGTGTCCAGAGGAGGGCGACTAAAATGATCAAGGGTCTGGAGAACAAGCCCTATGAGGAGCGGCTTAAGGAGCTGGGCATGTTTAGCTTGAAGAAGAGAAGGATGAGAGGAGATATGATAGCCATGTATAAATATGTGAGAGGAAGCCACAGGGAGGAGGGAGCAAGCTTGTTTTCTGCTTCCCTGGAGACTAGGACGCGAAACAATGGCTTCAAACTACAAGAAAGGAGATTCCATCTGAACATGAGGAAGAACTTCCTGACTGTGAGAGCCGTTCAGCAGTGGAACTCTCTGCCCTGGAGTGTGGTGGAGGCTCCTTCTTTGGAAGCTTTTAAACAGAGGCTGGATGGCCATATGTCAGGGGTGATTTGAATGCAATATTCCTGCTTCTTGGCAGGGGGTTGGACTGGATGGCCCATGAGGTCTCTTCCAACTCTGATTCTATGAAAGGTTCTCTAGCATTGAAATGTGTTCTGCGTTTATGTTTAGAAACAAGTGGGTTAGCTTTCTCTTCTCCAGCCTAAAGCTCAGCCCCTCTTTCCTATTTTGCATATCAGAGATGTGACTCAGTATGTTGCCCCTCAAACACAAATTGAAGGGAGTGATGGCATTTGAATGTTCAAAGCCTAGCTCCCTTCCCCAAAGATGTGTTGTGATCAACTGCAGTTATTATCAATTGCTAAAAAATTAAGACGTCAATGCAATATTCCTTGTAATGTTCAGAACCCAACTTTCGAAAATGTGATCAAAGAGATGCATTTTTCTTTTCAGTGTGTCTGATCTTTTGAGGCAAAGAAGCACTCTGAACAAGACTTTCAACCGAGTTAATGGTAAAATCAATATTGTAGCCGAATAACTCCAATCCTAATTGATAGTATCAGCTCTAAAGCTCAACTAAGACTTATGCTAGCTGCAGTTTAGAACTCAAGAAAATTCTGTTTTGAACAATGTTTTACCCATGTTTCAATGTTTTACCCATGTTTTAAAGTTGTGTGTCTGCTCTGCCCACCACATCTACTCAGTGCCCAATTTCTTGGAGTTAGAATAGGGCTCCACAGCCACCTACGGATACACAAGAATACTGATCCTGGAAGACTATCCTACTCGTCCAATGATGGATCGCCTAAGTAGGGGGTCACTGGACTAGGGCTTCTTGATTAAGACATCACACTAAAGCCCAGTTATTATAACCCATAGTTTATGAATTCACTTGAATCATGTTGTCTGATTCTAGATATACAAGCACTATACTAAGCCATGGCTAAATCTCCTTTGCTATGGCTTGGAGTGAGGGCTGAATCAATCCTACATCTCTCTCTGCTGGTGGCTTCTCTCTCAGTACGGTGGTGAATCTGCTCCATATTTTAGTCTGAACTTATCAGAAGCCATCTAGGGTCCTGAATCCTGTTTCCAAAATAGGATAACTAACTTGGATATCTTCTTTAAGGTTCAGACTACCACTTTTAGTAGATTTGTTGCCCCAAGGATATGGAACTGTTTTGCCTATTTTGATCATTTTGGAATGCACACCTGTTTGTACAAGAGTTCAGAATTCCCTGTCATCACAGATTCTGTTCTGAAAATCAAAACACGCATGTTTTGTTGGAAGATCCCTATCACAGGATGGCTTTTTCATAACTTGGAAGTGAAACTAAGTCAACTACTTTTTTAGTCTTGATGCTAGAACTCCATCTATTGCCACGATTTCATCCTGTCCTTCATGGCCCATTCACACTGCACAATTGTAACACTAGTATTCCACCTTAATTGCTGTGGTTTCATCCTATGGAATCCTAGTGGGGCACTAGAGCACGCTTACAGAGAATCCTCCATTCCCTTCCATAAACTACCAGTCCCAGGACTCCATTGGATGGAATCATAGCTGTTAAAGTGGAATGATAGCACCATAATTCTGTAGTGTGATTGAAACCTTAATTTTAGGTGAAAGGTATGCCTGCATGCTCAACTATGGAATAATAAAAAAGAGAGTGATGAATCTAGCCTCTTTCATGCCAACTGATCTGATTAACAAGAGATTTCATGGATATAAAGCCTCATTTTCAGATACCCTGATCTATTAAAATGCATGCTAAAACAGATCGGTTAATCTAAAAGGTATAACATTCCTTATCTAAAATGATTGAGATCAGAAGTGCTTTGGATTTTGGATGTTTTTAATGGCACCGGGATTGTGGCGCAGCTGGCTGAGTGTCAGGTGCATTAAGATCACTCTGATGAGTTCAAAGCCAGCCCGGGTTGGAGTGGGTTTCCAACCAATTGTGTAGCCTGTTGTCAACCTTTGCAACCCAGAAGACAGTTGCATCTGTCAAGTAGTAAATTTAGGTACCACCTTAAAGTGTGGGGAGGCTACATTAACTAATTTATGAGGCCATAAAAAAGACTCCAGCAAAACACTCCAGCAAAAAAGCATGCAGGGAATGCGGAAGTACTTCATCAGTTTCGCAGATGGACGATGAAAGCGACAGCTCCCCTGGTGGCCAGAAAAAGTTAAATAGCCTCTGTCTATGTCTGTATATGTTGTATGGCAAAATTGGCATTGAATGTTTGCCATATAAGTGTACACTGTGATCCACCCTGAGTCCTCTGCGGGGTGAGAAGGGCGGAATATAAAAGCTGTAAATAAATAAATAAATAAATAAATAAATAAATAAATAAATATGTCCCCGTCCCTCCCAAGATTATGGAATACCTGTATTTGGATATATAAACACAAGAAATATCTTAAGGATGGGAACTAAGTCTAAACTCAGATTTTATTTATGTTTCATATATGTGTTATACACATAGCCTGAAGTTACTTTTATACAGAATATTTTAATAAGTTTGTGCATGAAACAAAATTTGTGTAAACTGAACCGTCAGTACAGAAAGGTGTCGCAATCTCATCCACAATTTTGAAGTGTATTTCAGAATTTTGGATAAATGATGTTCAACCTGTAATGCTGGATTCTTTCCTTCCACTTTTTCCCAGTTTACGTTGCAACAGACTAACAGAACTATTTATCT